CGACTGAATGTGGAAATAGAATGACTGCTGGAAAAAATGTTCTTGACTCGGAAAACAATCAGGACAAAGCTGGTGTTACTGAGGAACAACGCGGTAGTACTCATACGGCTTCCTCTCGCAAACTCAAGCTACACTGCTGCACATTCTAGGAGTAAGCACAATTATGACTCTAGAAGATCGCCAAGCTTTGAGAAAAATGATGGCAACATCAGCGAAAATCAAATTCGGTAGTGTAGCCCTTAAGAAATCTCGCAATGATTTGCTGATAGAGGTGAGCACAGCAAAACTAAGCTTCTGCCAAGCTGTTTACTTGTTCCTTATTCAGATTATCTATGAAGGACCTAGGGAAGCAACCAAGGAAGATCCAGTTAGGCTTTATTTTGACGTGGAAGTTGATCCTCCAAAGGAATAGCAAGAGGAACCTTGAATAGAATTCTACACAAAAACATACCCAATCAATTCCAACTATTGTGTACTGTGATAAAAATTTCTTTTTGTTTTAGCGATGGCTACATACAGATTACAGGTGTTTTGCTATTTAACACCCTATGAACATTCATCACACTCCTTTGGAAGTATAAGCATGTCTGGCTGACTGATTTCACTAAGTGATCTAATACATTCAAATAGCTATACAATCACAAATGTCAACAAGTATCAATTATCTCCATGATGCTTCTGTGCTTGAATACCTTTTGTAGAAAACCACACAATTCGCGAGTTAGAATCGCCATTCAACTATGAATATCATAAGTTGGAGTAGGTAGTGTAGAAAGAACCTAAATAGGAGCAATAAAAAAAAGTAATTCTTGAAAAAAGAACGTTTTTTTAGAACGATTTTTCAAGCACTAAAGTGTAAGTTTCGGTAATTCTCCACCAAGAACGAATCACGGTTCCAAATATATAAAATGACTTCAAAACCTTTCTATGAACTTAGCTGCAAGATTAATCTCCAGAAAAAAATGTAAGAACTTGTAGCAAAACATAAAAATGCAAAAAAGAAAGATTACAGTTGCAAAATAGAAGTGAAGTATTCCAAATAACAGCAATGATCCAAACAAACCTCATCCAATCTCTGAAGATATTTCATAAAATGTATCTCAATCCAACAAGGCGTGTCGAGAATTGTCGTTCGGCGATAGCTCTTTCCAAATCCTTTCACAAACGACACACGGCATATACACAAATTCTGACAAGAATTTCCATAACCACGCAATCATTTTAAAAAATGGAAAGCCACCTGCAAGGCATAAACATGACGATATCCTTGTTGTTTTGCCTGTTCCAAAAGCTCTTCAAAAGCGGCTTCATCGAAAATTTCAAGTGTTCTGCCTGG